TATCAGTTTTAAAACGTTTAACTTAAATGTCAGCTAAACCTTATTGACAATAATGACTGAATATAATCTCACTTATTTTCTTAATTAGGCTGTACGCTCCCGTGAATAAACAACATCAAATGATTCTTTTGTACAATCACATTCCAACCAATATAGTCAGGTTATAAGAGCACTGACGGTTAGTTGAAATATGTTAATTATTGCCACATTTAAACGATATCAATTTGTTTGTTTGATTGTTTAGAATTATAAATTGTTCACTAGTAAAATACTATCATTAGGTCGCCCCAGACAAATTAATAAAGCTGTGTTAGTTATGTGTTTTATGTTATTTTGGGTGACAGATACAAGTAGTTCATAGTGTCAGTCGGAAATGCAATGCCTGGCGGCAGGAGATTGAAATAAAGGCAACAAGAAAAAAATCAGAGTGATCGAAATAACAGTGTAATTAGATGAATAATGAAGTATGTAAAGGACAACTCTTTACAACATCTGCATCTCAGAGATAATGTTCATTCCAGAATTCCAAATTAGTACTGTTCGCTTCAATTTAAGCTACATCACCATTTAAAATCTGGAATCACTGGACAGCTGTTTCTTTCTAGTATGATTCTCCTCACCAGTATGCATCAATGATTCCTCACATAGGAATCAACCCCAAGAACCTCGATCTCTCATTCTTAACCTCTAGAGCATTGAACGGGCATTCACTGATGTCAGTGTTTAACTTCAGTCAAACTATGATATTGCTCAAGACCTTGGTTTTCAGAATGAGTTTTGTGGAGAGTTCTAGAAATTTCACAGGTTGAAATCATGAGTTAGTTGAAGCTAGACCACCATTGAAATCCTAGAAGCACTGGACGACCGTTTCATTCTGATATGGGACTCCTCAGCAGTGTTGTTGAAGTTAGACATTAACACCGTTGGATGCCAGCTCAGTGGTCTAGTGGCTAAGTGCTCGCGCACAAAGCCAGTAGGTCCTGAGTTCGAGCCCCGGGTGGTGCAGGATCGTGGATGCGCACTGCTGAGGAGTCCCGTACCAGTACGAAACGGCCGTCCAGTGCTTCCAGGTTTTCAGTGGTGGTCTAGCTTCAACTGACTCATGATTTCAACCTGTGAAATCTTGGTTTTCATTGATGGATTAGCGTACACTGACTGGTGCATTCAACTGTGTAATACTGAAATCTCCACAAATCTCCATACTAAAATATTAAATGGTTGTTTACTTGACTGTGATAAATTTCTATCGGGTAACAATATCAGATTTTTCAGATGCTACACATGCCTTTATTTATGTGCAGAGATTTTAATGAAATTTATAGAAGTTTTAGAGAATATGCAAAACAATTATTACTATGGTAATCATAGTTATTAAAAGCATACAATTACATCTCAGTTGTTAATGTAAATTTTCCTTTAAACGACCTAAGAAATATAATACACTTATGAGCTCATATTCTCTATTATACCTATATAGTGATCGAAAACTCAGGTCGCGCTTACCTATCGTGATGAACCAATCGAGCTATACTGGATGGAACAACTGTTCCTGAATGTCTTACCATACCAGACAGGTCGGTTGAAGAGCAGTAAGATTAAAAGTAGTTAACTCAAGATCTGAGAGTGAAGTCGTACTGCTGACTGTACAGAGGTGTGGCAGCAGTAAGGTGTTTCTTTCAGACAACCAACATGAAAGCGATGCTGCCTTCAATAAGGAGGAGTGGGGTTAGAAAAGGTTGACCCTAAAAATGCACACCCTACCTTATCCCACAGATATCCGTGTCTGGCGGTAAAGTCTCAACAAATACGAGCTAACACGAAAACTCTTCACATAAAGATCGTGTGTGACTAGCCTCAAGCAGTTGTTCCTTAAGCACTCCAGTTGTGCTCTCAAGTAACTAAGACCACCTTTAATTCAATTTCCTTTTCAGATAATTCCAGAAGAAAACTCAAGTAGGGAATGTCAGTTTATTATTCAGATCATAATTATAGAGATTTTTTGTAAAATGTGAAAACTTACTTACTTACTTACTTAAGCCTGTTACTCCTCGTGAAGGAGCATAGGCCGCTCACCAGCATTCTCCATCCAACCCTGTCCTGGGCATTCCTTGCTAGCTCCGTCCAGTTGTAATTCATCGTTTTCATTTCTGCTTCTATTATCCGACGCAATGTCTTCTTTGGCCTGTAGCCTTACTGCCGGTCCCAAGCTTGGGTAAAGGAGGAGGGTTGGGCATGAGGTTAGCGTCCCGATTCCGCAGAAAACTAACTCGCTAAAAAAACTAAACATTAAATATTTCACTACCAACTGTTCCATTACTTGTTTTAAACTTGATTATTCTTTCATCACTATGACAAGTACCCTCAGTTAACATTCTCGTTTTCTTCATTTCAATCTTCTTAACCATCTGCTGTTAGATATTCCACTGCTAAATGATGTTACATACTAATTATGTTTGTCAACATCAATAACATACATCATAGATAGTGTCTATGATTTTAGCATAATTTATGAAAATGTCACACTATCACGCTTTTAATGACGCGATTTGAATTTAATGAATTTAATATAATCAAATTATTTCATTAAATCTATTTTCATAAAGGTTACTTTCAATATGCTTGGAAAATAGTTGAAATACAATTATCAAATGATTAAATTAAAAGATATATGTCGTTAACCCTGCATAATAATGGAATGAATAGGTAGTCAGTTATTATTCGCTTATCTCTATGTAATCCATCGCTTTATAAACCTTCTTAAGAATATGTTATAATTAGGGAAATTGTTATCAACAGACTATTTCAGAGAGGTTTTTGGTGGGTATTATAGTAATTTCAATAGTTGAGATCGTGAATCAATTGAAGCTAGAGCACTACGGAAAACCTGAAAGCACTGGGCGGCCGTTTCGTCCAATTGTGGGATTCTTCAGCATTGCGCAACCACGATTCTGCCTTGCGAGATTCGTACACGGGACCTATCACTGTGACGCGCGGACGTTTAACCTGTAGAATACTGAGCTGACATCCAACTTTCTTAATGTCTAACTTCAACTAATCCACGAAATCGAACGACACACCCAACACTGTCTTCAATGAGTTACTATCTTACAACGGACTCGGTTGAACTCCCTTGGCTACTGTTTCTCACTAGAATTCAAGTAAATACCTCTTGAAGTCATTCACTAGTGATCATATGTTGATAATTATCAAAAGGAGTTATGTGGATATTATAGTAATTTCAACAGTTAAGATCATGAGTCAGTTGAAGCTAAACCACCACGAAGAACCTGAAAGCACTGTACATCCGTTTCGTCCTGTTGTGGGTTTCCACAACAGAGCGCATCCACAATGCCGCCTCGTGTGATTCAAAACTATTGATTAAGTTTCTCAAGGTTAGGTTAATAAGATTAGAAGTAATCTCACTAGGTCTCTTTACGTTTGGTGAATTTTGTGATTGCTAGTATTAGTAATACGTCATATAGATTTTGTTTTTGGTGTTTAGTCAAACATAATCATTGGTTCATAAAAGCTTCATCTGATTTTACCCACAACAGACTTACTTACCTACTTACGTCTGCTACCCCTCGTAGAGGAGCATAGGCCGTCCACTAGCACTCTCTATTCTACTCTGCCCTGGGCAATACTTTCCAATTCTTTCCAGTTGCTATTCATCGTTTTCCTATCTGCTTCCATTTCCCGACATTTCTCTTCGTCGCTTATCTTCAGGATTCCAAGTTAGGGCTTGTGTCGAGGCGTAGTTTGTTGATTTACGTAATGTATGTTTTTTCTGCTTCAACGTCTTTTCCTGATTTCCTCTTCGACTGGAAGCTGGTTTGTTCTCTCTCACAATAGTCTGTTGTTGATGAAAACATATTCTAATGAAGTGAGGATCGGAATAAATCACAAGTATCCAAAAATTCACAGTTACTAAAAATAGTATAATTTATAACACTAAGTATTACTGCGATCTGTCATACTTGTGGCGACAGATATAAGTAGTATGTATCATCAACCGAAAGTGAATTGCCTGGAGGTGCAACATTAAGAAGATCAAATAAAAGAGAATGAGAACAAAGAAAGGTTGATGCGGAAAAGAAGGGACAATCAAGTCTCAGACAATTGATTGACATTTTGCAAATGAAGTATCTACTGCATGGTTCTCAGATTGCACTTAGATATTCTGTAATTTTGTATATTCGATTGTCTCCACTTGTTTTCTCATTTACTATATTACCAGTAAGCTTTTAATAGGTACTATATTGGCATAGTAACAACTAACGCAAAATGCTCATACACATTATTCTCAATAGGTCTGAATAATATCATAATGTTAAAGTTTTCGGTGTAGTTTTTATTATGTATTTTTGTTGTTTGAGTTGGATGGTTTGCTTGTGGAGCTTTTATCGTTCTTTTGAACGACATCATAAACAAAAACGTCAGATGTAAGTGAAGTGTTAAAATTTCTCCATATATTACTCACAACTTATTCTGTAACTGACAGGTTTAAGGTCAACAAGAACCATTCAGTATCAAGGTCTACAAGCTTTGAACCATATATGGATAAATTCTAACACTTCATCTCTAGTTGAAGTTTCTGCTGATGATGTCACACATTAGACTGATGAAAACTCCATGACGAAACCATCTAGCTCAGAGAACAAAACCACATCAAAATCATCTACTTGAACTACAAATATTCTTTATCATTATTCTAATTTTGTTGTTATGTATAATGTTTTTTCAACGTATTCCTCTAAACTAAATTATTCTTTTTGCCATGTTTAAATTTAGAATAATCTCATTAAGTTATATAAAGTGTGTGTGTGTGAATTTGAATCATTGATCGTCTATATATATTTCTTCGTAATGAACAAATCATGGTTTCTTTTTTCTGGTTGTTCATTCATTCATCATTAACCAACGAAGCAACCAACCATAATTACGTAATAACAATATAAATAGAGATAAATATAAAATCAAAGAAAATTCCGCAACTTAACATGCGGTATTCATCAGTAATTTATATGATTATAATTTTTTCAATTATTCATCCTTCTATACAAGATTGTAAGTTTATAAGTAATCATAAGTAGTATAATGTTGTGAAAACGTTTTTTCTATTTTCTATATTTTATTATTTTGATATTTAACATGTGGTGAGACTATAATTTATGGACGAATCAATCACGTATAAAATAATATGTCTTTGATTTTGGCGCGAAATTCATTTATCCATTTGAACAAACAGAGTATTAGCATTATAACTGATGTCAATTTGTGATGAAAATTCTCTAAATTTAATATCTAACCTTAATCATTATTTGGTCCTCTTTATAAGGTGAACGCTCAAAAGATCGTCCATAAATTATAGTCTCACCGTTAGTTTTTGATGAATTCAGTTCATATTATATGTATTAAGGGACTATGAGAACGATATATATGATTTAAAAATGATAGTGAGAATAGACACATAGTAGTAAATGTTCATCGATTGAGATGGTTGTGCCATGTGTTACGTATGCCTGAACACCGATTAGCATGACGCACAACGCTGACTGATTAGTGTTGGGGATGGTTGGAAGAATGTTGGTTGCGGCCGAATCAAAACGTGACATCAGTGCTTCAAGTCACTAACTTCTGGTCTGAGCCATGTTGGTAGGTGCAGTCTACTTGGTTGGGGTCCACGTGACTATCATAACCAATGGTTGGAGACTCTTGGTGACATGGCTCAGAATCCATCACAATGACGTCGATGTATACACTCTCTGTCTTCCCCTAAACTAAGAGATTAAAAATGCTTCATGTCTTTCTTTCTACCTACTAATTCTTTCTTCCTGTATTGTATCCTTATATGCGATCTTTCTTTTATGCACTTCAACCACTGAATTAACTACTATGAATCTGGTGTTCATCTTGCTGTGCTAACAGAGTGTGTGCAACTTGAACCGATTTAGGATAGTTTGTTGCATTTATGACATAATTGTTGTGTAATACATGTGAAATCATATGAAGATGGTATACGATTTTCATCAGTTAATACATTAGATTTTTCCTAATATCTATACGAATATATGTATATCTGATGTTGGCAAATAGGTGAAAAACTCATGAGAATTATTCATATTATCTTTAAATATATATAGAAGTAACAGACTAGACTTTTAAATTCTAAATGCACTTAAACATTTCAATGATTTATAGTGGCTAACAGTGGAATGGAGGACGCGCGTTTCGTCCTATTCGTGACTCTTTAACTGAGTGAACCTGCATCTCAGAGTTGATGTTCACCCCGGGAAGGAGTCGAACCCAATACTATTCACTTCAAACGCCGTCACGTTCTCGACTTAGCTACTGAGACCTGATAGCCAACTGCTTATGCAATAGGATGAAGTTTAAATTCACTTGGTGTTGTTTTACTTGTATCTTCCTATTGTTATTAAGAACTGCAATTGATCAGTCTCATGTTGGTTTATGCGCATCCTGTGTGGATTGCCTCGATATAGCCTTAAGTAACAAGCTTCTTCAGAAAAGATGGATGGATAGTGACTCGCAGTAGAATCCAGTTCGACGCGCGTTTCATCCTATTTCGGACTCATCAGCTGCGTCTCAGAACTGATGTTTACTCTAAAACTTGATTTTTCTGTTTCAAAACTGTTATACTGATTTTTATATAAAGTCATCTATATATAATTCCGTAATGAAATGAAAGTTTGATGTTGTTGTTATTGTTGTTTATTTGGATAAATACATTAGTGTTCTTATAACATCTTTGATATTTATCTATGATATTAAGCGTTTACTGAATTGATGACTTATTTTTTAGTATATGATTGGATAAAATTGCAGACATTGGAATTCCATAGAGATCAAGCAAAACGTAAGTATTCATTTATAACCATTTTGAAATCATTCAACTAATTTCATAATTTCAATAGATGATATCATGAGTCAATTGAAGCTAGAACATCATGGAAAACCTGGAAGCACTGGACGGCCGTTTCGTGAGAAGTCGTTACTAGTGAAGTTCAACCAGGTCTGTTGTAAGATATCAGCTTACTGAAGACAATGGTGTACAGTGGCGCAACTTCGTGGATTGGTTGGAGTAATAAATTAGCACAATTAGATACTGGTTCAGTGGTCTAGTGGTTAAGCGCTCGTGCGCGAGACTGATAGGTCCTGGGTTCGAACTCGCGGGAGGCGGGATCGTGAATGCGCGTTGCTGAGGAGTCATGTACTAATGCGAAACAGCCGTCTAGTGATTTTACGTTTTCAGTGGTAGTCTAGTTTAGATTGACTAATGAATTCAACTATTTAATTATTACAATCCTCATACTGATCTTATTTTTTTTTATAGGTCAATTCAATTATGCAATATTACAAATGGACAAATCGATAGACGAAATGAATTATGTAAAATGTAAATTCTTTTTATTTATTTATTTGGACACATAAATAATGGTCCGAAGGGGTACCGAATACATATGTATTACACAAGGCACTTGATTTTGTGTATGAGCTGTGATATTTTCCGGCTACCCAGACCAAAACAGACGGTTTCCTTAAGAAGCCACACTGGAATCCTTTAACTTAAAGTTCTGGTCCACTAATTATAAAATAAAGAGAATAAGCCATCTTACCATTTAGGAGGTTAAAAATAATATAGTTTCCATCACAATCATCATCATCATCATCCAAATCATCATCACTATTTAAATTAATCTACCTTTCAGATCAACTAATCGAAGACTATCCAACGGAATTTGAATCACTTACCAAATGCATGTAGAATGCTCTTCTTTTTATTACATAATGATAATGATAATTCTAGACGTGAGCTGTACACTTAAACGTATGAAAAGTGAAAGTTTGGTAAAACTTACTAAAAGTGAGTAGTATATTTTGTAAAGACTAAATTATGACAAATTGATGTTATATATTCAGTATAGAAATGAATTCATTCAATTGTATAATGATATTCAGTGTAGATATGATTACTAATTGTGGAGAATGTGATTAATAATTTCAGTATGAGATTTCTCTTTATACTTATTACCCACACTGGTTACCATTTGTGAGACACTGTTGGATGCCGACCCACGTGTGAGACACATAGATCCTGGGTTCGAGTCCCACGAGTGGGATCATGCATATACACTGTAGAGAAGTTCCATTTTAGAACGAAACAGCTAACTATTGTTTTCAGGTTTTCTATGGTGGTCTGGCCCCTGAATACCCTAGTACAGCCAAAAGTGGAAAGAGACAGTCCTCCCTCTCGAAACGATCTCAAATCCCCACGTGCATACAACCACTGACAGGGAAGTCCTACTCACTGCCTTCTCGTAGTGATAGTGTTGTTTACGAAACTGAGGGGACAAAAAGCGAATGTACCGCCCTCCAACCGGGATAGTAGACATAGGGGGTCCACGTTGGGGAGTTGTAAAACCCTCATTCCAAACCAATGTTGCACATGTGCTTCAGTATCCTGAGGTAACAAATGGAGTATGAACCAATTGTTGAACACTGGCTACAATGTGACTGAATCTTTTAACGTTACTACACTGTCTTGTGAATCAAAGGTTCTGGGTGTAGCCACCTAAGAAAACCACCTACTTCGGTTTGGACACTCGCTCAGTATTCTAGTTCTTACATAAATCGAATAATTTATGTGGCACATATCTGTTTGGTGCCTCATAAACCAATGTCTCTATGTTTAACTAAATAACTGATTCGTGAATTTAGCCATTAAATTATTATAATATTTCCTCTAAAGAAATGGCTTATATTCAGCTATTAAACATCAGAAATTCACATTATTTTGGATCTAAATCAATAAGTTCCTTCGATCAAATTGGATGATGAAATGAGAAAATAAAGATTACCAGGACTATGATATATAGTAATGTAATACATATCAAATATTTATATATAAATATGGATACAAAAGGTCAATTAGATAAATGAAATTTAAGAGGAAACAATGCTGTTGATGATCATGATGATGATGATGATGACGAAGAACGGAAAGAAAAACATAAGAAAAAACAATATGAAACACAATGGTCCAGATAAAAAACTAAAATTACCAGCGCAGACTCAAAGTCAGAACAAACGAGGTGTGCATTTGTTGTTTAATATATAAATGATAACTGAACTTTATTATTTATGAGTCTTTAATGAACTGTATTTATTAATTTAATTACTTACTAACTTACTTACTTACTTACTTGCTTACTTACTTACTTACTTACTTACTTACTTACTTACTTGCTTACTTACTTACTTACTTACTTACTTACTTACTTACTTACTTACTTACTTACTTACTTACTTACTTACTTACTTACTTACTTACTTACTTACTTACTTACTTACTTACTTACTTACTTACTTACTTACTTACTTACTTACTTACTTACTTACTTACTTACTTACTTACTTACTTACTTACTTACTTACTTACTTACTTACTTACTTACTTACTTACTTACTTACTTACTTACTTACTTACTTACTTACTTACTTACTTACTTACTTACTTACTTACTTACTTACTTACTTACTTACTTACTTACTTACTTACTTACTTACTTACTTACTTACTTACTTACTTACTTACTTACTTACTTACTTACTTACTTACTTACTTACTTACTTACTTACTTACTTACTTACTTACTTACTTACTTACTTACTTACTTACTTACTTACTTACTTACTTACTTACTTACTTACTTACTTACTTACTTACTTACTTACTTACTTACTTACTTACGTACTTACTTACTTACTTACTTACTTACTTACTTACTTACTTACTTACTTACTTACTTACTTACTTACTTACAGTTGGTTGATTTCCTCAATGTGTATCCTATCCACTTCCAATGCCTCTTTCTGATCTTTCTTCTACTGCAATCTTGTTTGTTCTCTCCCACGGTAGATAGTTGCTGCAAGTGTCTGCCCAACGTATCCAAAATATTTTGCGTAGAAAACTGTTAATTTATATTTGTATCTTCTAGATGATGTCTTTCGTATTTTTGTAAGATTCCACTCTATACGGTAGAAATTTCTTGACACTTGTATTCAAAATTTTGACTTTGGTGTTGGTTGACAGTTGTTTTGATTTCCAAATGCTCTTCAGTTGCAGATGTGCTTCACTTGGTTTGCAGATCCGATCTGTTACGGCTGTCTGAGTTCAGTGCTTTAGCTGTCATTTTGTCAGATGCTGCTACTTTCCCATTGTTAGTTTGTTTGATGACCAGTTAACCTGATTTCTTCAATCTTTGATGAAGTAACATCTATAGGAAGATCTATTTGTGATGCTACGATGTAAGATGAATTTGATAGAGCTGGTCTATTCACAACTACTTCCAAGAGTTCTACACTTCTTAAAACTTAGTAATTGATTTGCCTTATTTTCTTGTCTAGTCTCCTTGGTTTATTATATTTTCTAATTAGCTTCTTCGTTGTATCAAATAGTTATCACACTCCCTTTGTTGATCTCACCAAGGTCGTTTACATAATTCCACTTATCAGCTCTAATGCTTCACTACTTGTTTCAGTTTTGACATCCGGACAATATACAAGCCCTCACGCAAATTGAATTATTTGTATGGAAAATAAACACTGGTACAAGGAGGCACCAAATAAATATACATATGTATTTAAATGAATCCTTTTCACTAGCTTGTTTGCTTATTCACTTTCGGTCTGTGTCTTTGTTTTCCCTGTTTTTTCTTGTTCGTCTCTTCTTGTCTTCCCTTTAATTGAATCACACCTTGAGTAATAACTAAAAAATGACTTACTATACTACTTTGAAGCTAATGAACTGTAAAGAATTTGGAAAGAAAGTAAGATCCAATCATTAGTAGTACATTGTATTTACACAATAACAACTTCATTTGAATATTTTTGTAAACATCATAGGTCTAAAGGATTTATTGAATAATACACAAACTTTACATCGTAAGTAAACTGTAATATTCCCATTGAAACATAATTTCACTTTCCCTATATAAGAAATACACTATCTGATATTACGTAATACAATGTATCATGTCAAATAAGAACTACAAGTATGATCTAAAGAATTTTAATCGATATTTTTGGTGATGGTCCACCAGGGTGCATGATACCTATGTGATTGCTTCACAGAATTGAGCTGTACTATTCAGATTGTGGCATTAAAGTCTATACGGTGTCTGTTTCTCCTGTAAAACTGAGCTGTACTGCTCTGGTTATAAGATGTAAGTTTGGATAGTGTTTGGTTCTCCTGAAAACAGGATTGAGTCATACTATTTAGGCTACAAATTTTAATTCTGGGCGGTGTCTGGCTTCCTTGTTAAATGGGATTGAGCTGTACTGTCTGGGTTATCACGAGAAAATCTGAATGGCGTCTAGTTCTCTTGAAATCCAATATAAAATTAACCTGACCCACAAAGGTATATATATTTTTTTCGGTGAATTTTGTCATTTTTTTCTAGAGATAAATCTCATGGAATCATCTGTCTTGAAAACGTGTTTAGACATAGATGAATCATTTCATCAAAGTAAGTTAAAATATCCTAATGTGTCCAAATGAATTCTTTCTTCATCTGTCACATTTTATAAATACACATATTTTTACACAGAATATGAGTAGTGAGGATTTAACCAGGGGAGTTTAAAAACTTTCATTTCAAACTAACGATGCACATGGGCTCCAGGATCCTGAAGGAATAACTGGAGCATGAACCAATTATTGGTCACTGGCTACCATGGGCTTGCATCTCCTAACGTTGCTCCACTGCCTTGTGAATCAGATCTCTAGGTCAAAGGCTCCGATTGTAGCCCTCCAAGAAAACCACCGACTTCAGTTTGTAAAACCAGGCAGTATCCCAGCCCTCACACAAATTGAATGATTTATGTGGTGCATATGTATTTGGTATCCCCTTTGTACCAACATATGTGTTCAAATAAATACACAGAATATATCACTTACTAAATTAGTAATATTATCACTTAATTACCTTTGTAACTATTTCACATAATATTCATATCACTCTGTTAAAACAAAATTGAAGCTACATAAACATATGTCTTTTTTAATTGATGAAATACGTCATACTCTCAATAAACACAAAATTGTTGTCATGGCAATTATGAATCTTAAGGATTTTAAGAATGATAAGAAGATTCTGGAAACATACTATTCAAGTCAATTAGCAATCTACAAACATTTTGATGTAAATCTGATCAATCAATTCATTTTCAAAAAAAGAACCAAATAATGATCTGGCAAAAGATATACAAGACTTAAACAGTAAGACAGATGAAAATAATGAAACTTACAAGGATAACTAACTCCGTCAGTCACTAACAATGTAGAACATCATACGTACGTATATCAGTTCAAGTTGCCATACCAAATTAGCACAGAGATGCAGTTGTCGATTCAAATTCCATAGTGGTAGAGATAGTAAGAGTATAAGCAGTAATCGGAAAGATTAGGGTTCGAAGATGTTATTCAAAGAGTATAATCGAGTAAATAAATTTGGAAAGAGGAAAAAGAAAGGGACATGAAACATTCAGAAGATTAGAATTTGAGAGAATATGAAGAATGGATGCACCTGCGCCCAGCACTGCAAACGATTTTGGGCCATGTCATTCAGTGTCTCTAACCATCGGTTACTATCATCTCGTGATCCCCAACCAGATAGTCTACACATACCAACATGGCTCAGTCCGTTTGTCAGTGACTTCATGTATTTGTGCCATGTTTTCGTCTGGCTGCCCCTAGCTTTCTTCCAACCTACTCCAACACCAGAAAACATCGCACGTCGGGGCAGTCGGTGGTTGGGTATACTTAACACGTGTCTCAGCCATCTCAACTGATCAAGTTTCACTATTACTATCACTAAGGCAATAAGTAAAAATTGGTTTAAAATTCTTAGACTAACTAAAACGCTCACTGCTATTTGAAGCAACCTCTTATAATATTGTTCAGAACAACAACATATGCGCCTCTGTTAATCCTTCGAACTCACAGACATCAACAACAAGATGAACTCTAGTAAGTATTATACTAAGTTGAAACAAATTCAACAACACCGTTGATAGTCATACATCGTTAAATGAATCAAGCAAACTACGTCATATACCATCGTGATTCTCTAAAACGTATATGACAGGCTAAGTACATAAATAAGAATGATTTAATCATCTATAATCAAGATTATCATGGAAATCAGTGATTATCATCACTTGTGATTTTGTCATTGTATGTGAACACAGAAATATCAATGGACTATTCTGAAAGAGATTGTCATAAATATTTTACTACCTACAAACCAGGTAAGCTGGAATTGTTATAAGTATAAATTTATAAACATATATATAAATATATAAAGACGAATGCTAGCTAGCAATGAAATCCAGGACGTGCATTTTGCCCTAATTTCGGGACTCTTCAGCTGAATGTACCTGCTTTCCAGAGTTGATATTCAATCTGGGACTCGAACTCAGTACCTTTCGCTTTAAACTCCATCGTTTTATTTACCTAGTTACTGATTCCTATTTATAAGAGATTGATCAATTGGTGTCCTAAACATCGATGTGAGGATTCAAACAAATACTGCGAAACGGATTTATATGTATAGGTTAGAGGTGAAATTTGCATTTTCGTTTTAAACGTTTATAAGCAACATCGTTTATGATAGGCCAAACATACTGTAAGTCTACATTGATGTTATAAAATTACACAAACTTCATTCAATGAAATTAATAAATTTTAATATGAGTGCAAACCTGTGATATGTGCTACTGATATCGACAGAATCAATTAGCATTTATCATCATTCGAAAGTGAAATGCTTTGAGGTAGGAAGTTAAGGAGAATAAAAAATGATTGGTATGGAAACAAAGGAACAATGAAGTTTCAGACGACTGATTGCCATTTTGCAAATGAAATATCTACCGTATGGTTCTTACATGTTATTATGATGTTCTGTAATTATGTACTCAAATGTATTTAAGTGTCCATATTGGTGTTCTCGTTCACTACATAACCACTTTAAAATAGATCTGGGTGACGTTCTTCAACATGTCAATAAATGTATTACTAGTGAGACTATAATTTATGGACGACCTCTGAGTGACTCTACAGTAACCTTGAGGATGTCCACCTACATACTGCAGCTTATTGAGAGTTATAAACCAGTGTGAGGAATTACAATTATGATTAACATTTGATATTTAAGGTTAAAAATTAGATTTAGGTGCTTTTCATCACAAATTGATATAAGTCTTAATGTCAAAACCTTATTTTACTAAATGGATGAATGAAGTTCGCGCCAAAATTTAAGATCTGTTCTCTGAAATCTGATTGGTTCGTTCATAATTTATAGTCTTGCCGTCGTTATGTTAGCTATCTATACTTCATTGTTTTTTTTGTGTTTTTTGCAAGGAGTTATATTTCAGTCAGAATATGTTCGTATCAGACGTTCTATTGAGAAGGTTAACACAAATCTTTATTTATTTAATTATTATTTAAGTGAGTAACAGTCATTTCTTTTATTATCAGAAGGAGGTTTTGTAGAGATTTTAATAATTTCAATTGTTGAGATCATTAGCCAATTAAATCTAGACCACTTTGGAAATCCTGGAAGCACTGGACCGCCCTTTCGTCCTATTGTGGGTCTCTCACGAGGTGGGATCGTGAATGCGCACTCCCGAGAGGTCCCATTGTAGGATGAAACGGCCGTCCAGTGCTTCCAGCTTTCCCACGGTAATCTAGCTTCAATTTACACATGATCTAAACAACTGAAATCTTTTCTTTATTTGTTTTTTCTTGAATATCTAATGATATAATTGTTAAAGAAGAAGAAAAAGAGTGGATAAGTGACATTTCAAAGAATCAATTTGAAGTATGTTCAACGTTTCTCCTGACAATCTGGTCTAAATATTTTGAAGGAAAATATAATCAAACATGAAGATTATCCAATATAAAAATGAGGTACATGATTCTCTGGTTCACTTTACACTATATAAGTCACCCAATCAACGTAAACAATGTTTAAAGTTGGTATTTGTATTAGTTTGTAAAAGACATGTGGTGTGAAATGAAAATTGTGTTAAGATAACAGATTTTGTGCATACGTAAGTGGTGTGAGAGGAAATTTCATTAATTATATCATTCTCACATTTCTTGGTGATCGACTGGATCATGAAGATGTCAGTATCTAGAGAGAGGGAAGCATGGAATACAATGTACTGCTAGGATGCAGCTGGACGGTCTAGACTTCACAGATGATATGGCTTTTCTATCACACACGCAATAACAAATGCAGTAAAAGACGACCAGTGTAGCAGCAGCCTCAGAAGCACCATGTCTCAAAAATGAAAAATCAATATTATCCGATACAACACAACATGCACCAATCAAACCTCACTTGATGGAGAAGCTTTGAAGGGTGTAAAAACCTCTACATATTTGGGCAGCATCATTGATGAACACAGCGCATCTGATGCAGATGTGAAGGCGCAGATCAACAGAGCACGAGCAGAGTACCTGAAACTGAAGAACATCTGGAACTCGAAGCAATTGTCAATCAAAACCAAAGTCAAAATTTTCAATACGAATGTCAAGACAGTTCTAATGTATGGAGTGGAAACTTGCAGAACTACGAAAGTCATCATCAAGAAAATACAAATGTTTAATTACAGTTGTCTATTCAAAATAATTCGGATCCATTGGACAGACGTTATCAGCAACAATCTACTGTGAAAGAGAACAAACTAGATTGCAGTGGAGGAAGAAATTAAGAAGAAGCACTGGAAGTGTATAGGACACACATTGAGGGAAGCACCCAACTGTGTTACAGGGCAAGCCCTCACCTGAAACCATCAAGGACAAATGAGAACAGGAAGACCAAAGAATACATTAGGCCGAGAAATGGAGCCAGATATGAGAAGCATGAATAACAGTTTGATAGAGCCAGAAAGACAGTCCCCGGACAGAGTGCATTGGTGAATGGTGATCGGTGGCCTATATTTCATTGTGAGTAACAGGTGTAATTTCGTAAATAAGTAATATATTGTCTCTGGTTGGTAAATAAAATTTCTTCTCACAAGTTGATTGGATAACGTGTTTAGTATACTGTGAATCAGAAAACCAGTTACCTAATTTTATATTCGATGATATTTCTTTGAAAAAACTTGGACCATGAGCGTCAATAGAAACGTCGAATGAACTTGGAATTCATTCGCTCAGATTTTACAACTACATTCTTCCTATTTAATGTCTCACATCAACTTGTCACCCAAATACTGTGAAATTATTCTATCAAATTTCGACAAAAGTTCTAATGTAAATTACATAATTGGTATTTAAAGGTTTAACATGTACACATTTACTTGTTAGATTAAATTATTCTTTAAGTGTGATTGTTTAAATCAACATGTAGATAAACTAACATAATTGAAGTGTGGAGCGGGTGTTGTTTACGAAATTAAGTGGGCGACTTAGCCGGGTCGGTGGACATGAAGAATCCACCTAAAGGAATTGGAAAACTCTCATTACAAATAAATGGTGCATATATATTCCAGGATCCACAAGGAACAAATGGAGTATGAATCAGTCGTTGGTCAATGGCCAAAATGGGATTGCATCTCCTGATGTTGTTCCACTGTCTTGTGAATCAGACTTTTAGGTCGAAGGCTCCGGGTGTAGCTCTCGTAAGAAAACCAAGTGCTTCGATTTGAGCGCCTAGGCAGTACCTCAGCCTACATACAAACCAAGTGATTTTTGTGGCGCATATGTATCTAAAACAAAACGTTTAGCTATTACAACAATCATGGCATTTCAGATGGTAGATAAGATTTCCAGCTTATATAGATGATTTTGGTGGAGTTTTATTCTTTGAACTGAATGATTTAGTCATGAAGCTTTAGTGTGATGTCGATTCATGGTTGACTATGATTACCACTACAGGAAGACTACGTGCCAGTTACACGATAAGATCCCCCGTGGGCCAAATGTCAGAAGACGGTTGATGGCTGTAGTCGAGATGTATTTGTTGGAGATCTCATGGTATCGAAAGAATACCGAGATCGTGCTAGGTTACAAATGAGGTTACTGAGCGTAACGAAATTGGTGCAAGGTCACAATCAATGGTAGGAAGAATGTCTTTAGTACAGTTAAACAAACAAGTACAATAAAACAATCCCTGGTACAGTTGGTTATAATAATAATTGTTTTCATTACAGCAATCGCGTTCTGTTAATAAAAGTAGGTCACTACAAAGCTTTCATCGTTCTATTGAATGGCATCTTCAGCACAGATTTCAAGTAGAAGTCTGAAGTTCAAAGAACAAAACTTTATCAAAATAATGGATGACATTTTGAAAATCAGTAAATGTTATTATGATGTGGTCTGATGTTATTTTAATGTAATAACTTGTATATTCTGTGTTTTTAGTAGAATATAAATTTCTATCAGAAATAGTTAATGAATTCAAGATTCAAATAAAAGAAGGTAAGTGATCAAATAAAGAAGCATATTGATTTATTAAACAAGTCTGTAGAAAACATCATGAATGAATTAAACATAAACACTTAGTGAATCTCAGCAATAACGTTTGTTAAAATCATATGCTTTTTAAGTGTATTCATCAAAAGTTGATCAAAGTTAGACCACCATGGAAAACCTGAAACCATTGGACGGCCGTTTCGTCTACCTTAGCAGTGTATATTCACGATCTTGGACGTGGGACTCAAATCTAGGGTCTTCAGTCTCATATGTGAACATTTAAACTCTAGACCACTGAGCCAGTATTCAATGGTCTTAATGTCTAACTTCAACTGATTCATGATCTCAACCATTGAAATTACTACAATCTCCACAAAACCCATCTGATATTATTCAACATATGCTCACCAGTGACTGGCTTCACTAGGTATATCCTGGAGTTCTAGTGAGAAGCAGCGACCAGTGGAGTTCAACCAGGTGAGATATCAACTCACCGAAGACAATGGTGAATGTGTCGCTCTGATATAAATTTATTTATTTAAACGCATAAACATTGGTACAGGTAGGCACAAAATAGATATGTGCCACATAAATCATTCGAGTTGCGTAAGAGCTGGGATACTAACCAGGTGCTTAAACCAAAGAAGGTGGTTTTTGTAGGGAGTCACACCCAAAGCCCTCAACCCAAAGGTCTAATCCATAAGGTAGTCGAGCGACGTCAGGACATGCAGTATCATGGTAACCATTGATCAACGATTGGTTCATATGCCATTTGTTCCCTCAGAATCCTGGAGCCCATGTGCACCATTTGTTCGGAATGAGGGTTTTCGAACTCCTTAGGTCGATTCTCCGTGTCCAGCAACTCAGTTAAATCACCGTACATTCGCTATTCGCTCATTCAAATTTGTAAGCAACATCCCCTCCACGAGAAAGCAGTGAATTCATGAGACCCGAAGTTTATTTTAAAAAATTTATTGATAATTTTCTTTATGTTGTAGGAAAAACATGATTGTTAAGCGAAAATCAAATTTGTAAATAAACATCTACCATGGTATACTGTGTTCATATTGTTTAACAGTGTGCATACATTTGTTGTTGATATTCTGTTCTTTGCCCGGAATGGTTTGTTTAGAGAAGAAGAAGAAAACAAAGACGTTCAGTGTTTGTTGTTTACATCACCATTCGTTGATAATTTCATTCAAAACTGTGAATTCCACTTATTGTTTTAAAGAAATTGTATGTAATTAGATTATGATTGATTATCTCCATGGATTTTGTGTATAACTGTGGTATGATTATCTTGTGTTTAATAGTCTTTTTGAAGTTATAAGCTCAATTTATTTCATGTAATTGGTTCTATTAGTGAATTTAAATAAAGTCAGAACAGACATGAATGCATAATAATATGAATTTTCACTATGGGGTTTTAGAGATTATTAAGTTTGTGATCGAGATCATGAACTGATATATGTGAAACCATCATTGAAAGCCTGGAATGGCTGAGCAGCAGTTTCGTCATAGCATGGGACTCTTCAGCAGTGAATATCTATGATCCTGCTCGAGAGATCCGAACCCACGCTTAACATCTAGACCACTGAGTCAGCATCCAACGGTGTTATTGTCTAATTTGAAAGTATTTGAATTATCGTATGAACTAGGAATCCCAGAATTAACGCAACTGAGTCATGAAGTACTAGATAAGCACAAACGAATGTATTGTATTTAGAATTTGAAATCAAGCATTCAACAATTACAAAAGAATCACTAGTTAATTCAAACACCACACTAACTTCAACTGATCCACGAAATTGAGTTGCCGTCTTCTATTGTACTGAGGTAGATACCTGCCTCTACCAGACACGGATTAGCTACACTGGTTACTACTTCTCATCAGAACTCCGAGAATTCAATCATGACACTAGTCACTAGTAAACACATGGTATTTATCAGTATGAATTATTAGATCTCATGGTTTCTTATCATCTGCTTACTCATTGATATGTATTGAAGGTTAACATTAAGACATAGTGTGAAACAATTGATATGTATGAATGAAAAGAATTGGAATGACAAATCTTATCAATAATAACTATATTTATACATGCGCAGGAACAGGTCAACGGTCATTTGTTGTTGGAATCCAAAACAATCATAAGGCATGGGTGATGCCTTCATTATGTGAGATTCAGAGACATATAAGTTAAATTGTGTGATAATTTTGGAGGTTGAGAAGAGACTACATATGAGTTCTGAAATTAAAGAACTGATAAAATGGGTTGCGTTATAATGGAATGAGATCTGAAGAGTTTACGTTATGAACGGAGGTTGTGAAATCTTAATTCATAGGTCTCCATAATATTTGACCTCTTGCGCCATGATAAGGTTGCAAAAACTCTTTCGGCCTCGACCACATAGCTTTAATATTGTTTGTGAGCACTCCAGTTGTTGAGTACACAAAATGCCACTTGTGAATAATGACACGATACACATAACCAAGTCTATGCAGGAGTCTGTACGTTCTCCAATCATCCATATATATTGTAGTGCCTGGCTCCACATACTTCCCTATAGTTTGCATTATTGCCGTTGCCTGTCGATTTCTGACCCTTTAGATGTGTCACTTTTAAGTTGGCCTGTCGTAATTTCCAAGGAGTTGTAAGCTATATTTATGGAAATGCTGCTTACCCAATCTTCTTCATCACTACGTCCTCTATTAAGTTTTTGCTGCCTGAATATTGTTTCGTCTATTTGATTACCGTAGTCACAAATAAAGGAAATTCTTAGTTATTCCATTTGTTGTACCCTCTAAATTATCACGTTTTCTCTAAGATCATCTGTTAACTAATAGTACGTGAGCATCAGGCATTGAAATTGTCGCCGTAACCTTGAAGTCCTTCTAACGCTTCTGAATGACTCGTTCATAAATTATAGTCTCGCCAAAATTTGGTATGGGAAGACCACATAGCAAAATGAACACAAATAGAATAAAAATAATGACGGAAAACGATTTACCAGGATAGTGATAGGTTTATTACTATCTCTTTTTGGATACATAAATCAGGTTTGAGTTATTTTTATCACTATCGTTTCAGCAAAGCGAAAAGACGCTGCATTTTGAAGATTTGAGGAATGGTAATAATATGCCTGCAGCAATATGGAAGACTCTCCCAGTTTCCCACATTGTACGAGCATTCCATATACTTAAATAAATGGTTTCTCTGATTGTCAGAAGGGGCATCGGTCTCATGATATCCGGAGGAACTTTTCTAAATAGAGACCTTCTGAATCATAGAGCAGAGTTTAAGTGATTTGAATTATTTTTTCTAGTTGGCGTTTTTTAGCGAGTTAGTTTTCTACCGGATGAGGTCACCTACCCCTTGATCAACCCTTATCCTTTATCCGGGCTTGGGACTGGAAGCAGTCCACAGAGGGACTCCGAGGGAAGTTCCTGATGTCAAGTAAATGCAAAGCTGTCGCACTATTAAAAGCCATTGTACCTTGCGGTTTCAGTTCTTTGAAACATGTTTGGATACGTGAACATGTATTTAATTCATGAACTGATAAAAATAGATCTATTATGCTTAAATTTTATTTGATCGACAATCGATCTGTTATGTTATGTTTCTATGAACTTCATGATATTCTTGGAATTTGACCGATCTATAATGAACAGGTTTTCTTAATTCAACTAGATTCTGTAGATATATATGTGAATCAATATGCATGTATGTGTCATTTAACTGTTAACTTTTTCATTGCATAGTCGCATAATGTTAATTACTCTTGTAAGGAACTTCAATTTATATATGAATACAAATCGATCTTCAATGAAAAGATTCAATCGAATATGCTATCACTGTATAACTGTCATCATTTTGAAACCAATGCTTCTCGTTTAATATATATTATATTATTCGTAAAGCTTCAATCAGTGATACATTTGCATAACTATTAATAAAATTTATACAAGGAATTACCAGTTAGAGGGAGTCATTTGAAAACAATATCACATTAATGGATTGTCTTAAGTTAGACATTAACACCTTTGAGATGGTGGAGAAGATTTGTAGCTCAGGTGGATGATTTTGGTGGAGTTTTGTTCTCTGAGCTGGATGGATTGATCGTGGAGCTTTCATCGTTCTTCTGAACGACATCATCAGCACAAACTTCAAATAGAAGTGAAGTGTTAGAATTTCTCCATATGTGTTTCACAGCTTGTTCTGTGCACCTCGATGTTGATTGGTTCTTGTTGACCTTAAATTTATCATTGTTTACTTCTTTGTTTTGGTTGTGTCTTCCATTGGTTTGATTTTCGTTCCTATATTTATGCATGATTTTTCTGATTGGTTGATAAAAGGACGCACCACAGTAATCATGGATAAAGAAGAATACGTCAACAAAGCCGAAGAACTACTAGAAGATAAGAACACATACAAACTGATGGACACAAATCCCGTCAAAAAAATTAGACAATAAAATCTCAAAGACATTAAACAAACTAGTCAAAGCAGGAGAAATAACAAAACAAGACCAATGGAGAATGAAATCCAGTGGACCAGTACTCCCTCGATTCTACGGCAGACCCAAAATACACAAAGCAAACATCCCATTACGTCCAATAGTAGCACTCCCCGGAACGCCAACGTACAATTTGTCAAAAGAAATTTCACGAATACTGAAACATCTAGTAGATTCAGCCAAACACTCCATCAAATCCCCAACACAATTCCTGGACCAAATTAAAGATATTCAAATCAACAACGACGAACTCATGATATCCTTCGACGTAACAGCACTGTTCACCTCAATTCAACAACAGTTAGCAAAAGAAACTATATCCCTGCTGCTCAACAACGACACAAATCTCACCAAATACACAAAGCTTCAAAGTCAAAGTCTACTGAAACTCATCGATTTATGTCTAAAAACATATTTTCAATTCAACAACAAAATCTACGAACAAACAAAAGGGACACCCATGGGATCACCAATATCAGGACTGATCGCAGAGGCA